ATAGAATGCCAGATAGAATGCCAGACAAAATGCCAGATAGAATGCCAGCAGATATGCCAGATAAAATGACAGATAGTATGCCAGACAAAATGCCAGATAGTATGCCAGACAGTATGCCAGATAGTATGTCAGATAGATTGCCAGATAGAATGGCAGATAGTATGCTTCAAACACACAACCACAAACACAACCACAAGCTCACAACCACAAACACACAAATACAAACACATAACCACAAGCACACAGCCACAAACACAACCACAAACACGCAACCACAAACACAACAACAAACACAACCACAAACATAACAACAAACACACACCCACAAAGACACAACAATCGACACACAACCACAGACACACAACCACAAGCACTCACCCACAAACACAACAACAAAACCACAAGGACACAACCACAAACACAACCACAAATTAGCCCAGCTGGAGACCCCAATAGCAAGATACAAACCGGGACCCCAAAAAAAATCTGGAAACAGCTGCCGTTTTCAACACATCGACCATCTCTTCCTTGGACACCATCATCACATAACCGGGACACCATCACAAAATGAAAATGACCATGGCGCCATCAAAACATGACCGAGACACCGTCACAACATGATTGGGGCACCATCACAACATAACCGGGACACCATCACAAGGTGACCGGGACACCAGCATGACATGACGGGGACACCATCACAACATGACCGGGACACTATCACAACGTGACCGGGACACCGTCACATGACCCGGACACCATCAAAACATAACCGGCACACCGCCAAAACATGACCAGGACACCATCACAACATGACCGGGACGCCATCAAAACATGATCGGGGCACCGTCACAACATGAGCGAGCCACCATCACAACATGAATGGGACACCGTCACAACATGACTGGGACACAATCACAACATGACCGGGACACCATCACAAGGTGACCGGGACACCAACATGACATGACGGGAAAACCATCACAAGACGACCAGGACACCATCACAACATGACCGGGACACCGTCACATGACCCGGACACCATCAAAACATAACCGGCACACCGCCAAGACATGACCAGGACACCATCACAACAGGACCGGGACACCATCAAAACATGACCGGGACACCGTTGAACGCCATCAAAACATGACCGGGACACAATCACAACATGACCGGGACACCATCAAAACATGACCGGGACACCATCAAAACAGGACCGGGACACCATCACAACATGACTGGGACGCAATCAAAACATGATCGGGACAGACTCAAAACATGATCGGGACACCATCACAACATGACCGCGCCACCATCACGTGATCGGGACACCATCAAAACATGACCGGGACACCGTCACAACACGACCGGGACACCATCAAAACATGCCCGGGACACCATCACAACATGACCGGACACCATCACAACATGACCGGGGCACCTTCAAAACATGACCGGGGCACCATCACAACATGTCGGGACACTATCAAAACATGACCGGGACACCATCAAAACAGGACCGGGACACCATCACAATATGATTGGGTCACAATCAAAACATGATCGGGACACCATCAAAACATGACCGGGACACCAGCATCACATGACCCGGACGCCATCAAAACATGACCGGGGCACCATCCGCCCACCAGCTGTGACGGTGACCCGACGGCGCCCGTCCGCCTATTAGTTTTGCAAGACCCCATAGCATGGCTATTGGGGAACATAACAACAAACGCACACCCACAATCACACAACAATAGACACACAACCACAAACACACCACCACAACCACAAACACAATCACAAACACAAGCACAGCACACAACCACAAACACAACCAAAAACATAACAACAAACACACAACCACAAAGACAACAATAAACACACAACCACAAACACAAGCACAAACACATCCACAAACACACAACCACAAGCACACAACCACAAACACAACCACAAACACACAACCACAAACACGCAACCACAACAACACGACCACAAAGACACAACCACAAACGTACAGCCACAAGCACAACCGCGAACACATCCACAAACACACAATCACAAACACACAGCCACAAACACACAATCACAAACACAACCACAACCACAACACAGCACACAACCACAACCACAACACACAACTGCAGCACACACAACCCGAGGACCCACAAGCAAAATCGAGAACTGCAATACTCACGACCATGGCAACATGCTCCTCACTATGGCATCAAGTCAAATGATTGAAATGTCATGGTGGGGATCACTCGAAGTAAAGTAATTTTGCTTTTTTTGCTTTGGGGGGGTGTCCAAGACCTCCCAGGAATTGTTCTTCTTGTTTGTTTAGTAATATCTTTTTATTCTATAAATAACTTATTCTATGTAATATAATTTTTTAATTAATATTTATACATGTTTATTGTATTTTTCAATCAAAAATTATCATTATATTTCTTTATTATGAGGCTGAGACATCGCCATTCTTGGGTTAATATGATTTTATACAACTTATTACAAATATATATAAATATACTAAATATCAATGTTCCAATATACTCGAACTGTTTAAAGATTCATCTTTTATATTTATAAGAAAGTATATTTATATACAAATACAAGTATTCTATGTTCATAAATATATATATATACTGTTAAATAAAATATTTCATATCAAAAGGTATATCTTTAGTAATTTTGCCATGTCTTCCATCAATGTTGTATTCATATTGTTATTTCAAAATATAGATATATAAATACTTATTTCCCTAATAAATCATAACTTACATGTATTAAAGGCATATTACAATAAAATATAGCTACATTAACAATGCCAAAAAATATAACAGATATATTTTAGTTCAATACAACTATATGACATGTAAAATACAAGTATATTACTATAGTTATATTACAATAAAATAACTATATTACAGATACAATACAACTCTATTACATATATATGTATAACATTTGTAAAAATAACAATATTACAATCACAATACAGATTTGTCAAAATAAAAACAAGATGGAGCCCACGAACCCGAATGCAAACACGTTCGAAAAGCTACATATGTCCAACTGACACTCTTGTAGGACACTCTTGTGGGACACTCTTGTGGGTCACTCTTGTAGGACACTCTTGTGGGACACTCTTACGGGACACTCTTGTGGGACACTCTTGTGGGACAATCTTGTGGGACACTCTTGTGGGACACTCTAGTAGGAAACTCTTGTGGGACACTCTTGTAGGACACTCTTGTGGGATACTCCTGTAGGACACTCTTGTGGGACACTCTTGTGGGACATTCTTGTAGGAAGCTCTTGTGGGACACTCTTGTAGGACACTCTTGTGGGACACTGTTGCGGGACACTCTTGTGGGACACTCTTACGGGACACTCTTGTTGCACACTCTTGTAGGACACTCTTGTGGGTCACTCTTGTGGGACACTCTTGTGGGACACTCTTAAGGGACACTCTTGTGAGACACTCTTGCGGGACACTGTTGCGGGACACTCTTGTGGGACACTCCTGTGGGACACTCATGCGGGACACTCTTGTGGGACACTCTTGTAGGAAACTCTTGTGGGACACTCTTGTGAGACACTGTTGCGGGACACTGTTGCGGGACACTCCTGTGGG